GTTGATGCAGTTTTCATCCAACACCAGAGAGTTCTACCTGGGACCTAAGTAGGAAAGGAAATGTATTACTCTGGAGGCTAAAATGGGTAGGGGTAGGGGGATTGCAAGAAATGCACCCTAAACTGAGGCAGCAGCAGGTGGATGGGCTAAATGGAAGGCAGAAAGTAAGGTTAGCTTTAAGCCTAAACAGGCCCCAGCCAGTGAGCTGGGACTAACTAATGCATCTGAACTTTAAAACTGAAACCAAGATGAATGAGGTTAAATTATGAGTGAACTTCACTCTGCTTTTTGCTTTGGCTTGCATTGTGCTTTACATTTTGGTGAAGTTTAGTTACGAACCAAATAGCCCATGTGTAAGGACTAAATGACATGAGCATATGATAGGAGAGCAAGGAATCCTCCAGAATGCTAGAAGGAAAGGAGAGATGGCAGCAGAGGACTGTGGGCATAAGTAGAAAACGACCCTTTGGTTGACTTTGTACCCTCCCACCTCCTCTTTTGTTGATGTGAAGTACAGCAGCTAAGTATTTAAAAACTGCAAGATGGGTGTGGTGACTCACACCTGTAATCCCAATACATTGGGAGGCCGCAGCAGGAGAATCGTTTGAGCCCAGGAGTTTGAGACCAGCCTCTCTACAGAAAATTTTTTTAAAAATTAACTGCATGGTGTCATGCACCCATAGTCCTAGTTACTAGGGAAGCTAAGGCAGGAGGATTGCCTGAGCTCAGGAGGTTGAGGCTACAGTGAGCTGTGATAGTGCCTCTGCAACTATCCAGCTGGGCAACAGAGTGAGATCCTGACTCAAATCAATGAATAAGTAAATACTGCAGAATGAGGGAAAAGAGAAGATGAGAGTGTGGATGATGTCATCTCACAAGAAATGGTACTGTGGCTAAACACCAAGCCAGCCACACACACTGGCTGATCTAAGGTGAGGAAGTTCTGGGTTCTACCTGTTTCTAACCAGCTCTGTGACTTTGGGAAAGTCTCTCCATCTCCAAAAGTCTCAATTTTCTTGTCTATTGAATCACTGGGGTAGTCTACAGTGTACAATTTTATTTTTGTTAGTCCCTCTTTCTTTGTTTAAAAATTGAGGTGAAATCCACATAACATAAAATTAACCATCTTTTTTTTGGAGTTGAGTTGGAGTCTCACTCTGTCACCCAGGCTGGAGTGCAGCAGCACACTCGACCGGCTGGGCTCAGGTGGTCCTTCTGCTTTAGCCTTGCAAGTAGCTGGAACTACAGGTGTGTGCCACCATGCCCGGCTAATTTTTTGATTTATTGTAGAGATGAGGTCTCGCCAAGTTGCCCAGGCTGGTCTCGAACCCCTGGGCTCAGGCATTCCTCTCGCATCAGCCTCCCAAAGTGCTGGGATTACAGATTTGAGCCACCGTGCCCAGCAAATTAAAGTGCACAGTTCAATGGTATTCAGTAAATTCACAATGTTGTACACCACCTCTGCCTTGTTCCAAAATATTGTCATCACCCCGAAAGAAAATCCTGTACCCATTAACAGTCAGTCCCTATCCCACCTCCTCCTGGTCCCTGGAAACCACCGATGTGCTTTCTGTCTCTTTGGATTTACCTATTCTAGATATTTCATGTAAAAGGAAACACACAATATGTGGCCTTTTGTGTCTGGTTTCCTTCCCTTAGCATAATATTTTCAGCGTTCATCTATGTTGTAAATTATGAGTAGCAGCACAGCATTTCCCTTTATGGCTGAATAATATTCCATTATGAACTACAGTATGATCTCGGACCCCAACATTATGATTCATTTTCTTTTCAGTCATCTGCTTAACACATACATAATGAGCACCAGTTAAACACAAGGTGCTGCTGAGGCAAAACACATGTCAAGACACATGTATTCCTTCACATCCAAAGCAGTCCTTTCCCAAGTAGGGGCTGGTATTCAGGGTGGCATCCAGTGGTACCTGAGGTGGTTTTAGAAAATACATCAAATCCCAAGATGAGAAAGTTAATGTGTTTTTAATTCTCTTTAATCCCTTCTGATTACATCAACAAGAAGGCCTTCTATGAAGCTAAGATGTCTCTGATCACATCTCTCATTTCCCCTTTTTAACAAATAGGCTCAGGGATGGGCACCCAGTGGCTCACATCTGTGCAATTCCAGAACTTTGGAGGCCAAGTCAGGCAGACTGCTTGAAATCAGGAGTTTGAAACCAGCCTGGGCAACATAGGGAAATCTTGACTCTACAAAGTATTTTAAAAATTAGCTGGGCATGGTGGATCATGCCTGTAATCTCAGTACTTTGGGAAGCTGAGGCAGGAGGATTGCTTGAGACCAAGAGTTTGAGACCAGCCTGGGCAACATAGGGAGACCCCAGTCTCTACAAAAACAGAAACAAAACAAAAAAAAGGAAAACAAAGGGTCCGAGTGCAGTGGCTTTTACAACTAACTGATCACAACCAGTTACAGATATCTTTGTTTTTTCTCTACTCCTACTGCTTCACTTGACTAGCCTTTAAAAAGAAAAGGTTCAGACTTTTCAGCAGACAACTGCATCTAGCTGGACTTAATAGCATTTTATTTTAATGCATGTATTTCAAATTATCTTATATTTATAGCTAGTTATAAGTTTTTTTCATTTTAGATAGTATTTTATTTCAAATAAATGTATTTAGGCTTTTAAATGTAAATTTTTTTTAATTTTAGAGAAAATATTAAATAACATTCAGGTTGTATACAGACTTAAGAAGCTAAGTTGGTAATGGAATGACTGGTGTGTGAAAAATAATGACTTAGAGATGGCAATTTGTCACATTTACTGTGTGATTTTTACCTATGTTTGATGTGCTTGCTTCACTTGGCTTACTAATTGACAAAAGACACATTTTTTTTTTTTTTTTTTGAGTTGGAGTCTCACTCCGTCGCCCAGACAGGAGTGCAGTGGCCACTCCCGGCCACCACAGCCGTGACCTGCTGGGCTCTGGCGATCCTTCCGCCTCAGCCTTCCAAGTAGCCAATTCTCCCAATATTGGGAAGAGGCCAAAATGCCCATACACAATCCCAAAGGTTTTCAGACCAACAAAGCATTGATGTGTCCAAGCTACTTAACTTGTTAATGGATTAAGACTGCATTAATAACTAATTTCATTTCATACAGAAGCCAGAAGGCTCTACTTGAGGTCGAAATAGGAAAAGAATCCTTTCTTTTCTTTTCTTTTTAACTTTAAAGATGTGGGGTGTCCAGGCTCAGTGGCTCAGTCTGTAATCCCAGCACTTTGGGAAGCCGAGGCAAGTGGATTCCCTGAGACCACAGGTTCAAGACCAGCTTGGGCAACTTGGTAAGACCTGTCTCTACAACAAATCAAAAATTAGCAGGGCATGGCAGTGCATGCCTGTAGTTTCAGCTACCTGGAAGGCTGAAGCAGAAGGATTACCGGAGTCCAGAAGGTCGACACTGGGGTGGGCTATGAGCATGCCACTGCACTCCAGCCTGGGCAACAGAGTTAGACTCCAACTCCAAAAAAAAAAAGATGTGGGATACAATTCAGAATTAGATATATAAGTGGTTATCATACAGATGAAGTTTGGGCCTTGCTTTAGTCCCCAGTTCACCTGGTTTGAGATCAACTACTCTTATTATGTTAAGTACCTCCCCCTTCCTCCCCTGGCAGTGTCCCGCTACTGTCAGTCCCTTTTTTATAGTATTATGATAAATGTTCAGGGTCCACTTATTTATTTATTCATTTTTTGAGTTGGAGTCTCACTCTGTCACCCAGACTGGAGTGCATTGGCCGCTCCTGGCCACCGCAGCTTCTCCCTGCTGGGCTCCGGCGATCCTTCCACCTCAGCCTTCCAAGCAGCTGGAACTACAGGCGTGCACTACCATGTCTGGCTAATTTTTTTATTTATTGTAGAGATGAGGTCTCACCAAGTCGCCCAGGCGGGTCTCGAACCCACGGGCTCAGGCAATTCACTCACCTCGTTCTCCCAAAGTGCTGGGATTACAGGCTGAGCCACCGAGCTCGGCAGGGTCCACTTATGAGTGAGAACATGTCGTACTCAGTTCTTTGTTTCTGTGATAGAACACTGAGTATGATGGACTCTAAGTCCATCCAAGTTGTTGCGAAGTCATAATTTTGTCCTTCTTTATGGCTATGTAATATTCCATCGTGTATATGTACCACATTTAAAAAATTCAGTCCACTTTTGATGGGCAGCACAGTTGGTTCCATGTTTTTGCTATTATGAATAGCCCTGCAACAAACATGCATGTGCTGGTATCTTTTTTGTAGAATGATTTGAGTTCCTCTGGGTATAGTTCCTGAAGGGGGATTGCTGGGTGGTATGGAAAGTTGATTTTTAAATCTTTTAGGAATTGCTGTATTGTCTCCCAAATGGGAAAAATTATTTGCCAACTGTATATCTGACAAAGGCCTAACATTCGGGATATACAAGGAACTCAAACACGCCAAAAGGAAAAAAAATAAACAACCCTATTAAAAAATGGGCAAAAGATTATGAATAGACACTTCTCAAAAGAAGATACATGAGCAGCCAACAGATACAAGAAAAAAGGCTCAGCCTCACTAATCATCAAAGAAATGCAAATAAAAACCACACTGAGATACCACCTAACTCTTCAGGATGGCCATCATCAATAACTCCAGAAACAACAGATGCTGAAAAGAATGCAGGGGGGAAAAGGGAACGCTTCTACACTGTTGGTGGGCGTGTAAATTAGGAAAAGGATCCTTTCACAGAAATGGTAGAAATAGTAATCAACAGAAAAAAATCAGTAGGAAGTATGGAAATAAACCTCTAGCTCCCCACCCAAGGCTAGTTCTTTTTAGGTTGGGCAACAGATAAGAAGATGCAGTGTCGCATTCCGGAGCATTCAGTCCGAAAGGGAATTTCTCCCTCAGGGTCCCCAAACGGCGGGAAGGCGGGGGCTCCTACCAGCCCCGCCCCACGCCCGCTGAGGCCCCGCCCACTCTCGGACCCGCCCTGGCCGCCAAGGCCCCGCCTCCCTTGCGTCTCCGCGCGCCCCCGGGTTCCCGCGCGCTCTGAAGATGGCGGCTGCTTTAGGAAGGTTGCTGCGGGCTTCGGTGAGTGGCTGCTGGCTGGGGACAGGAGCGGAGACACTGTAATGGCTCCGGGAGCGTGCTTTCCAGACAGGATCCCGCACTCCTGGACCTGAGGGCGGTTCGCCTTCTTGGAGGGGGTCAGCGGGTAACGGAGCCAGAGGCCTCTCCTCCCGGGAAGGCTCCTTGCGCCTGCGCAGAACTGCCCTTCTCCCGCGGGCACCTCGCGGTCTCCTCCCCCAGCTTCTCCGAGTTCCCAGTCTTGGATCCCCCGCGCTATCTCCACCTAACTCGTGATCCTGGCCCTTGAGGCGTCCAGGTCCCTGGTCCTGCTTTTGTCACCGGCTCTATGACTTGGACAAGTGACCTCGCCTTTCTGAACCTGTATACTTTTCTTAAGGTGGAAAAAGTGATGCCTACGTCCAGGCGTTGCTGTGAGCAGCCACCTAAATGCTGAGTGGAAGCGTGTAGAGTGAGAAACAAAAGGCGCTCCCACCTCCTCAGCCCCCTACCCGTGTGTCTCCGCTGTTTCCTGCTTTTCTCCAGGCAAAGCCTAGTACTCTCTTGCTACCCTCCTTTCTTGTGGTGGGGTTTGGCACTGGCTCTTTCCTGAGTCATTAAAGTTGAGCAAACATTTCTCTTGAGACCTGTCCAAACGTTCCCAGAGGCTGAACTTTACTTGTTGTGGGGGAAGGTCCTTGTCTTTTGGAAGGAAAACCTTGACATGGTAGAACATGTTCAGCAGATAGTGCTGGGAAAGGACTTAAATATTCAGGACCTGGTCAAGACTCTCCGGTTTTTTAACTCTGTTGCTTTTAAGAGCATGGAGTTTTTTATTCTTGAGTCTTCGTGTTCTTATAAGTTTCCTTCTGTCTTCCAGTCTCTAAGGAGAAGGAAGCAGAAGGGGATGTTAAGAACATGGACCTGGACTTCCAGCATCCAGAACCATGAGCCGAATAAACTTCCATTTTTATTAAAAAAAAAAAAAAAAAAAAGCTGGGCTCGGTGGCTCAGCCTATAATCCCGCGCTTTGGGAGGCTGAGGTGAGTGGATTGCCTGAGCCTGCGGGTTCAAGACCCCCCCAGGCAACTTGGCAAGCCCTCATCTCTACAGTAAATCAAAAAAAATTAGCCGGGCGTGGTAGCACATGCCTGTAGTTCCAGCTACTCTGAAGGCTGAGGCGGACGGATCGCCGGAGCCCAGCAGGTCAAGGCTGCGGTGGCCGGGAGTGGCCACTGCACTCCAGTCTGGGCGATGGAGTGAGACTCCAACTCAAAAAAAAAAAATCTGGGCAACGGCGTGGGACTCCAACTCACAAAAAGAAGAAGAAGAAGAAGAAAAATGCTATGGAGACCTAATCTATGCTCTTAGAGTTTTGGTTTGGTATTGATTCACAGGGACAAGGACAGCTGAGATCACCATTAGCATGATACCCTTTCAACTGGACAGCCTTCAGTCACCAGTCCCCAAAAAACTTTCTAATATAAAGTTTTTCTTTTCAGGTTGCCCAGCATGTGAGCGCCATTCCTTGGGGCATTTCTGCCTCTGTAGCCCTTAGGCCTGTTGCTTCTGGAAGAAAATGCTTGACAAATACACTGTGGTCTGGTTCTAGTAAAGCAAAATTCACCTTTAGCACCAGTAAGTATTATTATGCCTTCATTGGACCAAGGTAAAGGAAACACAAATCATCATCTCTGGATAGGGGCTCTGAACATCAGCCATACATTAGACTCACCTGGGAGCTTTTAAAACCCTAGCACTCTAAATTAATCTCCGGTGTGACCAGCACATGAGTGTATTTTAAAAGCTTACCAGATAATTCTAATGTGTAGCCAGGGTTGAGAATCAGTGAGGCAGACTGCTCTTGTCACATTTCCATGTTGGATGCCAGACCTTTTAGTCCTCTATGTTGATGGGCATGGCATAGGGGCAAGCTCAGATGCCAGACTCAGAAGGGTCTGCTGAGTATGAAGGGGTGTGAGTGGTGGGCAGCCTATGGGAACCTGAGAATGCAACTACTCTAGTGTTCTGAGATTCAAACCTTTCTGCTGGCTCTAGCTGGCCACTTAGAAACCAGACCCATCTAATAGAATCCTCCATGAACTGAGTGAAGTGAAAATGCCTCCTTTAGATTTAACTAGTCTTTGAAAAAGCATTTGTGGTTTGGGAGGATATACTTAAGCAGAGCTTTTTTTTGGTGGGTTAAATGTTCTAAGAAGTTTCACAATTTTACTACCCTGGAGCCCTAAAATATTTCTAGTAGGATTTGATGCCACAGGCTTAAAACTTTCCTCTGTTGGTCCCATATCCCCGTCCCCAGTGGTTCCTCCTGTTTCTGCTCATGGCCGTCCCAGGTGCTTTGACATTGGATCTCCTTAGTCTCTGATTCCCAGGTGGAAGCAAGTCCTTTTCAGTTTTGATAAATCTCTTGTGTCTTTTCTCTCTGCCACAGCCCTTCCCTCAAAAACTCACTAAGATCACTGAAATCACCTTTGAACATGTCTCCCCTCCTCCTACTCCTCATATCTTCCTCCCACACTAATCTTCCTAAAATCTGCTATCTCCTTTTGTATCTCCTGCATAAAAACCTCCTGTGACTCCCTGTAACCTCTCCTGTTAAGAACAAACTCAACAATCTGGTATATAAGGACCTCGCACCATTCCTGCCTGCTTTGTCTCCCTTTCTCTTCCTTTCATACCCTTAGACTTTTTGTCCTCATCAGACTGTGTCACAAACTGTTTCCCACATATGCCCTTCCTGCTGTTTCCTCCAGGCCATTCCTTCCCTTCCTGCCTTTTCCTCCAGGCCATTTGCCCTGTCCCACCTAGTCTTGACAAAAATCTGTATTTAGAATTTGTAGTCTCATGTCTTCCTTAATTCCATCCTAATTTCATCCCTACTATCTTTGTCTTTGTTTTAGTTTCCATAGCACTCTTTTTTTTTTTTGAGTTGGAGTCTTACTCTGTCGCCCAGACTGGTGGAGGTGGGAGGATAGCCTGAGCCCAGGAGGTTGAAGTTGTGGTGAGCCATGATTGTACCACTACATTCCAGCCAGGGCACCACAGTGAGACCCTAACTCAAAAAACAAAACAAAACAAAAGAAAAAAAAGAGATGAGCTCTCACTGTGTTGCCCAGGCTGGTCTTGAACTCCTGGCCTCAAGCAGTCCTCCCGCCTCAGCTTCCTGAGTAGCTGGAAATATGCATATATCACTGTTCCCAGCTTGAATTGGCATACAGTCTAGCACTACAGGAGAAATCCCACATCCATTAGTTCCATAACCCTGGATACAACCAACCATGAATTGAAAGTGTTTGGGGAGAAAATATATGATTGTACTGAACATATACAGCCTTTTTTTTGGTCATTATTCCCTATACAATACAGTGTAACGACTATTTACATAGCATATACAGTGTATTATAAGTATAGAAGTATAAGCAGTGATTCAAAGTATACAGGAGAATGTGCATATTAGCTTATATGCAAATAACATGCCATTTTATTTAAGGGAATTGAGCATTCATGGATTTTGGTGTTAGGAGGGTCCTGGAACCAAATCCCCACAGATAACCAAGAGATGACTGTACTAAAATTGAACTAAATCTTTTAATTGACTTTTACCACTAACTATTGTGAGAAGCCTAAATAAAATCAAGTAGGTGCTTAATGTAACAAAAGATGAACTACATATGTATGTGGGTTTTTTCAGGTTCCTCATACCATGCACCTGCTGTCACCCAGCATGCGCCCTATTTTAAGGGCACAGCCGTTGTCAACGGAGAGTTCAAAGACCTAAGCCTTGATGACTTTAAGGGGAAATATTTGGTGCTTTTCTTCTACCCTTTGGATTTGTAAGTATAATTCCTGTGATGCTTTATTGTCATTCTGAGAGCAAGCACATCCTGCTTCCACACTGAATTGACTGCCTCTAGTAATTCTAGTTACTTGTCAAGGGAAGGATTCTTTCTGCCCCCTTATCGCTGATTACCTTGATGATTACAGCTTGCTTCTATAATTCATTTACAAGTGATAAAGTTAGGGGTGAGTGGCTTTTCTTTTAGTGGTAGATTTTAATATGACTCTATGTGCTCTGGAGCAGTGGTTTCCTAAACCAGTCTATGAAGTTGTTTCTGCTGGTCTGAGAAAAATGGGAAAAAGATAAAAGTTTTTTCATAAAGCTTCTTTATTAAAATATAATTTGTTTATCTTAAAATATGTTCCCTCATCCCATTTTTTGATATGGTTCCTTAAATAAAAGGGCGATGGGAGACTACTTTTTTTACCAGTATAACACTGTAGTCCACTGAGGATGGCTAACTATTTTGCCTTTTTCACCCTTAGCAAATTGAATTCGTTTTTAGATTACTTATTGTTAAAATCCTTGTTTTTTAATTCTCTGATGAGAATTTCTACCCTTTTTTCCTAGCACCTTTGTTTGTCCTACAGAAATTGTTGCTTTTAGTGACAAAGCCAATGAATTTCACGATGTGAACTGTGAAGTTGTTGCAGTCTCAGTGGACTCCCACTTTAGCCATCTTGCCTGGATAAATACACCAAGAAAGGTATAGCATTGTTTCCTTTGCCTTTGTACTTAAGATGTTTGAAACAGAAAAGACCCCATAAAAGATCAACCTCAACGTTGTAAAAGCACGACTAGTCTAAAATGGGCTTCTTATAGGCCCTTACCTACTGGGAAAGTCTGTTGAACTCTGTCCATATCTTTTTTGACGTTGCATGTATATTTACTGCCCACAACACTTGCATTTTCTGAGGCACAAACAAGTAATGGACACAGGCTCAGAAAAGCAGGGGAAACAGAGGAGTCTGTTATGTCCTTCTCATCTTTACTTTCTGTAGATCCCATGTATCCTGCAGGCTTGGGAGGTGGTGTTAAGTTTCTCTGATTTTACTGTTCTGCCTGATCAGTATTCTTGCCTAGAAACATGGTTGGAACAGTCAAAATTCCAGCAGGTATGCTGCTGGACTATCAAAGTGTTTTTTTTTTTTAAGTTATTAATCTCATTTTTATGTTTGAGCAATTGGTTGGCAATTAAAAGAATGCTTTAAAGCTAGGTGTGGTAGCTCATGCCTATAATCCCAGCACTTTGGGAGTCCAAGGCAGGATGATTGCTTGAAGCCAGGATATCAAGACCAGCCTGGACAACACAGTGAGACTTCATCTCTACAAAAAAAATTAGCTGGGTGTGGGAGTGCATGCCTGTAGTTCTAGCTACTTGGAGGGCTAGGATCACTTGAGCTCGGGATGGAGGAGTAAGCTATGATGGTGCCACTGCGCTCTAGCCTGGATGACAGAGCAGGACTCTGTCTCTTAGAAGAATGCTTTAAGAATTAGAAAAAGGTCTATCATATTAGCTGGGTTTAGATCCTACCTCTGCCCCTTTCTAGCTGTGATTTGGAACAAGTTACCTAACCTTTGTGTGCCTCAGATTCCTCATCTTGTTAATAGTGTCTACTCTGGGATGGTTACGAGGAAAGAATGGGTTAATAGAATTAAGAAGCCGGGCTCGGTGGCTCAGCCTGTAATCCCGCGCCTTTGGGAGGCTGATGTGAGTGGATTGCCTGAGCCCGCGCGTGGGTTCGAGACCCGCCTGGGCAGCGAGACCTCATCTCTACAATAAATCAAAAAATCAGCCGGGTGTGGTAGCGCATTCCTGTAATTCCGGCTACTCGGAAGACTGAGGCGGAAGGATCGCCGGAGCCCAGCAGGTCGAGGCTGCGGTGGCCAGGAGCAGCCACTGCACTCCAGTCTGGGTGACAGAGTGAGACTCCAACTCAAAAAAAAAAAAAAAATAGAATTAAGAGCAGTGCTTGGCCAGTTGTTCATGCTCAGTTACTGTTACCTATTGTCACTATCTCAAGCATAGTGGTACATAGTCAAGAGTGTTGTGAGACCACACAGTGTAACATCCAGTCATGTTTGCATTTTTATTAGAATGGTGGCTTGGGCCACATGAACATCGCGCTTTTGTCAGATTTAACTAAACAAATTTCCCGAGACTACGGCGTGCTGTTAGAACGTCCTGGTCTTGCACTAAGGTAAGATCTTGTTCCTTATGAGCTTAACATTGTTTTTCACACTTAGTATCATTCTACTTAGTGACTTATGTAGACCTTGGTAAAGCATTTTTTGTTTTTTGTTTTTAAGTTGGAGTCTCACTCTGTCGCCCAGACTGGAGTGCAGCAGAGCACTCCTAGCCACTGCAGCCTCAACCTGCTGGGCTCTGGCAATCCTTCAGCCTCAGCCTTTGAAGTAGCCAGAACTACAGAGGCGCGCTACCACGCCTGGCTAATTTATTTATTTATTGTAGAGACAAGGTCTCACCAAGTTACCCAGGTGGGTCTCGAACCCGCGGGCTCAGGCAATCCACTCGCCTTGGCCTCCCAAAGTTCTAGGATTACAGGTTGAGCCACTGAGCCTGACCTTGGTTGTTGGTTTTTTTTTTTTTCCAGTAAAGCATTTTTAACATAAAGAATTCTTTAGCCAGGCATGGTAGCGCACGTCTGTACTTCTGGCTACTTGGAAGGCTGAGGCAGAAGGATCACCTGAGCCCAGCATGTTGAGGCCATGAGCTTGTCACTGCACTTCAGCCTGGGTAACAGAGTGAGACTCCAACTCAAAAAACAAAAAAAGGCCGGGCACAATGTCTCAAGCCTGTAAACCCAGCACTCTGGGAGACCGAGACGAGAGGATTGCCTGAATCTGGGGTTCAAGACCATCCTGGGCAACTTGGTGTGAAATCTCATCTCTATAATAAATCATTAAAAAAAAAAAAAGTTGAGTGTGGTAGCATGCTCCCATAGTTCCAGCTACTTGGAAGGTTGAGGCGGAAGGATCGCCTGAGCCCAGCAGGTCGTGGCTGCAGTGACTATGAGTGTGCCACTGCACTCCAGCCTGGGTGACAGAGTGAGACTCCAACTCAAAGAAGCAAACACAAAACAAAACAAAACAAGCCGGGCTCGGTGGCTCAGCCTGTAATCCCGCGCCTTTGGGAGGCTGAGGTGAGTGGATTGCCTGGGCAGTGAGACCTCATCTCTACAGTAAATCCAAAAATCAGCCGGGCGTGGTAGTGCATGCCTGTAATTCTGGCTACTTGGAAGGCTGAGGTGGAAGGATCGCTGGAGCCCAGCAGGTCGAGGCTGCGGTGGCTGGGAGCGGCCACTGCACTCCAGTCTGGGCGACAGAGTGAGACTCCAACTCAAGACAAACAAACAAACAAAATAAAACAAAACAAAAATTCTTAATTTTAGTTTTAATAAGCACACTCCTTTGATTAACATCCCCCCTGGGAGGGTTGGGGTCTTTTAGAAATGTCTGAGGTACATATGCCCCCTCCACCCTGGGTCTTTTTTTTTTTTGAGTTGCAGTCTCACTCTGTCACCCAGGCTGGAGTGCAGTGGCATGCTCACAGCCACTGCAGTCATGACCTGCTGGGCTCAGGCAATCCTTCCGCCTCAGCCTTCCAAGTGGCTGGAACTACAGGCATGCACCACACACCCAGCTAATTTTTTGATTTATTGTAGAGATGAGGTCTCGCCAAGTTGCCTGGGCTGGTCTTGAACCTGTGGGCTCAGGCAGTCCTCTCACCTCCACCTCCCAAAGTGCTGGGATTATAGGTGTCAGCCACTATGCCTGGCCCTGGGTCTCTTTCTTTTTTTTTTTTTTTTTTGAGTTGGAGTCTCACTCAGTCGCCCAGACGGAGTACAGTGGCCGCTCCCGGCCACCGCAGCCTCAACCTGCTGGGCTCCGGCAATCCTTCCGCCTCAGCCTTCCAAGTAGCCAGAATTACAGGCATGCGCTACCACGCCCGGCTGATTTTTTTATTTATTGTAGAGATGAGGTCTCGCTGCCCAGGCGGGTCTTGAACCCACAGGCTCAGGCAATCCACTCACCTCAGCCTCCCAAAGGCGCGGGATTACAGGCTGAGCCACCGAGCCCGGCTTGGGTCTCTTTCTGAAGAAGGATATCTGTGTCTTGATGGTCACACTGCTCCATACTCCTAACCATCTGGGAGCCACTTCCATGGGTGCGTGCTCCTGGCAGTGAAGCTGTTAGACTGGAGTATGGGAACCAAATAGACCTGGGTTTGATTTTCTTTTCTAAACTCAGCTACTTCATAGCTGTGTGACTTGGGGCAAGTGATTTAACTTCACTGAGCCCCAGTTTTCCCATAACTAAAATGAGGATGTACCTCACAAGTTGATAGTAAAGATTAAGTAAGCAAAGCCTCTTAGAGGTCTTAGCATAGTTCCTGGCAGCTGCTGTTATGACTTCTGTCTGCATTCAATCTCTGATTAAACCTTTATTCCTTTGAATGTGAAAAACTGTCAGTCTTCAACAGTCCCACATTCAGATACATCCTTTCTGGGAGGGATGAGAACTTAGGCCTTAAAGCTGGCATTTTGAAGTCCTGGCTAAGAACAGGAGTGAAGGGGAGGGATTGGGTGGAACTTGACCTCCAGGAAGGAGGATATCTGAGATCTGTGCTTTATAGTTTTGCTGGGGACTTGACCCCAGCTCACTTGCTGTCTCTTGTAGCTGACCTCTGGCCTGCTCCCTCTTTTTTTTTTTTTTTTTTTTTTTTGTGTTGGAGTCTTACTTTGTTGCCCAGACTGGAGTGCAGTGGCCGCTCCCAGCCACCGCAGCCTTGACCTGCTGGGTTCCGGCGATCCTTCCACCTCAGCTTTCCGAGTAGCTGGAATTACAGGCACGCGCTACCATGCCCGGCTGGTTTTTGATTTATTGTAGAGATGAGGTCTTACTAAGTTGCCCAGGCAGGTCTCGAATCCACGGGCTCAGGCAATCCATTCACCTCAGCCTCCCAAGGCGTGGGATTACAGGCTGAGCCACTGAGCTCGGCTGCCTGCTCTCTATGTTTTAGCGCTGGGTGACATCTGGAAGTTTGGGCCTTTTTGACTTCAAGATTACCATCTTCCCTTTATGTACTAAAGCCTAACTCTTACGGAGTTAGCAGTGGCAGGCGAAAGAGTACTAGCTGTTTTCCTTCCATGTTCCTTCCCCGTGGAAACTTGTTACTTTTGCATTTACCTCCCTACTGGTTTTATCAGGATTAACAAGGGAGAGAAGCCCAGTCTAGCATGTAAGATAAGACGAGTCCATGGAACCTGCTCCATCCCAATTCTGCCTCTGCTGCTTCCGGTGAACTCCAGCTAGCTCCGCCCTCTGGCAGCATGCACCAGAACCAGTTATGCCTCAAAGCCCAGACCCCTGAGTACCAGGCCCAGGGAGGGAGAAGCACCTTTTCACCCTAAGTTTTCTTTAACTTGCCTTTTCCCTGAATGATTTAACACTTGGATTTTCCACATCCTTTTCAGACAGACACAGTGTCATGCACCTGTAATCCTAGCTACTTGAGAGACTGAGACAGGAGGTTCACTTAAGCCCAGGAGTTTAAGAATGTGATGTACTGTGAACTCACTGTATAACCACTGAATAACCACTGTACTCCAGCCTGGGAGAACATAGTGAGACCCTATTTCAAAAAACCCTAAAACCTCTGGGTTAAAACATCTGCTTATGTCACATACCACTGTAATAGGGTGGATCATCTCATTTCATTGCTGCTAAGTGATGAGCTTGGTTTTCTGCTCTACATACACTTTTACAAAGACTTTCCCTTGGGACTTTCCCCCATTTACCCAATAATTCACTCATTTAATAAATATTTGTTTAATCTAGATAAAATATATCACTGTCTCGTCCCATGTGCCTATGGTTTCTTGCCAAGCTTTGATACAGCAGCCCAAAGAATGCTTGCCAAATCACTAACAAGTAAAAGTCTTCACTCTGTAGTTCAGTAACTTTTGGATACTCTGTGACATTCAGAGACACAGTTGTGGATTTGTAAATGTGACCATACTGCATGTGTTAGATGGTGACCTGATCCAGTCCTGGCTTTGTTAAAACATCTGTCATCCATGAAAGATGATAAGCTTTTTGTGCAACAATGGAAGCCCCATTTTTAAGCATGTGCTATAGCTTAATAAATGTTTTAGTAAAAGGAGAATTAAAGACCCAAAAGAGCAGAAGTTAGACTGTCCTGGTTCTGGTGTTGTTGAGGTATTTATGAGGATACATTCTTGTGCAGAGGTCTCTTCATAATTGACCCCAATGGAATCATCAAGCATATGAGTGTCAATGATCTCCCTGTGGGCCGAAGTGTGGAAGAGACCCTCCGCTTGGTGAAGGCATTTCAGTTTGTAGATACCCATGGAGAAGTCTGCCCAGCGAACTGGACACCGGATTCTCCCACAGTAGGTTTTTGTCCCCAAAAAACAGTGGGACCCCAGCAGAGGGTCTAGGTTCTCTCTGCCTCAAGGGGTGGTTGGCTTGGGATATTCATGAAAGGGAACCCACCCTTGGAACAAGGGTTCAGGTAGTGTGCAAATGGGTGAAGCTGCTGGGGTGTAGAAGGCATCGGGTGGGGTGGGGTGGGGTAAGGAACCAGGGTCCAGGCAAGCTGTTAATGTAACTTTCGTCCATGTGTTTTGTTTTATTTTGTTTTGTTTTGTTGAGTTGGAGTCTTGCTCTGTCGCCCAGACTGGAGGGCAGTGGCCGCTCCCGGCCACCACAGCCTCGACCTGCT